GTGTGTGTGTGTGTGTGTGTGTGGATTTACTTGGCTATAGCTGTCTCTATAACTAGTTAAAGAGTTACCTAAAAAAAAAAAAGACAGCTTAACTCATTTTAATTTATAGTATTGAATAATATTTATTAAATAGAAATTATAGTGTATATATAAAATATTTTAAACATTACATAGCTATAATATTAACAAATTAAAATATCTAAAATACATTAAAATATAATACAAATATTAAAATAAATGCTGATTTGCATATAATCATTCAAAGGCGTGTATGTTTTTGGAAAAAAAAGTCTCTTTTGCTGCATTTATTTTCTAAAAATACAGTATAACATTAATATTGTGAAACATTATTACAATTTAAAATAACTTTTCTTTTAAAATATATTTTAAAACGTAGTTCCTTTGTTAACAAAGCTGAGTTTTCAGAAGTCATTACTCAAGTCTTCAGTGTCACACACTGTAAAAAAAAAAAAATCAGCTGTGGTTGCCAGAATAATTCTGTAAAAAAATATATATATTTACAGTATAAAACTGTAATTTACAATAAACATACATTAATCAGAAGTTGTAACATAAAACCCAAATGTGCATAACTGATTAAAAAAACTATTAAGAAACAAAATTATTGAAACAAAATACTTTCAAATGTGAAGTGTCACACAGGGAATTCTGGGAATATCAGTTTACATTCTTTCACTGTAAATTATAATTTGATTTGCCTTTTTTACTTCTAAAAGCTGTACATTTAACAGTATTTTACTGTAAACAATTACGTGAAATGTCCAGTTAGATCTTTTGCAGTTTTTTTCCCTGTATATGTAGTATAACCTATTAACAAGGTTTTTTTCTGTAGCATTTTTGCAATATTTTACAGTTAAAATTACAGTGCATGATCCTTCAGAAACCATTCTAATATGCTAATTATCTGCTCAAGAAACATTTCTTATTATTATCAATGTTGGTACCATTTATGCTTTTTCTTATTTTTGTGGAAACTGTGATTTAATGCATCCTTGCAGAATTAAAAAAAAAATTCTTACTGACCCCAATGGTTTGATTGGTATGGCATGCCCTCATTTAGATAGCAAAGTAAACGTGTTTGTGTTTAAGTACGTCTGCGTGGTGCGTGGAGGAACTGAATGTGCTTAATTGTGTCAAGACATATAGCTCTTTCCCTTCAAGGTTTTTTTTGGGGCTCATGTGATGCTTTGTGTGCAGAGCAGGGTTTTGCTGATGTTCAAGCTAGTATGTTTCTCTTTACTAAAAGAGTGAGCTTTATGGATTATTTTATGATTATAATTTACTATTATTATTATTTTATTAAAAGCACATCGCAAACTCTTGCTATAGTCTTTGGTAAATCTTATCTCAGGGCATATAGTCATATCTTTTTTTTTTTTTTTACGTTCACAAGTTCAAGATAGGAGTAAACTTCAATAATGCGCCACTGACCCATACAGCTCCTGTAGGACAATACCACATACCAACCCTCACCCTAACATACACACACCCTCCCCCTAATGCTATTCGCTGGCCTATAGAGTCCTCACCTTTGACCCTTGTAAGGGGCGAATCTCCTTTTTTTTCTGTTCTTGTTATTTGGTCTTTTTATGAGCATTTTTATTGTCTTTTAGTACTGTGTGATTGAACTTGCTATGTTTCAGCGTGTGTTGAGATTCCCATTTTAACTAAAGCCAAATCTAAACAGATTTTATTTGCCATGCCATAAAATACAGAGAAATCCCATGCAACTCTTTCTGGAGAATGTGAGCATGTTAACAGATTTGGTTCTGTGGTTGGTGTCCCATCATCCACTGCTACATGGCTGGATTTAAGGCCTGCTGCACAACAGGTAAATTGAGTTTAAGCCTGTTTTCATCTCTAAACAATGAAAAATGAGACCAAAAAACGGAGTCAGTCCTCCTCACCTCTTTCATCTGAATCTTTCATTTCCACGCCGTTGTTGACCAATCAAAGTGGTCAGAGACTTGGTGGGACGTGACATGATGGGTTTAAACGGGTTCAAAGGTGGCAAACAAGAAGGGTTGTTTTTTATCAGTGGGGGTGGGGCTGAAAAACTCTGTTGTGGGTGGGATGTGGAAGCGTCAGGTTGGGGGATGGGTTTGGGAACAAGGTGATTGATCGAACAGATTGGTGGTCTCACCCATCGTGTTTGTGTGGCCTTTGCCTTTTGTTAACATTTGAAGTACCTTTTGGTGCTTTCCTGGTCTTAATTTACTTAAAACACACATGAAGTCGTGTTGCATTTCTCCTGATCTTGGAAGCCAATGAAAAAGAAAGTACATAATAAGTGCTTCAAGGCCTCCAAATCTGCACGGCCATTTTCAAGATTGGACAATGCATGATTTCAATTGGTTTCATTTGGCCTAGACATGCTGGCATTGCTGGTCTCTGTGGTGTGAAACACCCTTGCAGGATTCTTTGTTCCCTGATTGGCTGTTTTGCCCGCCATTTGCATGAAGGGAAGTTGAAAGCGGGCAAACGGCGCCATTTTCTCTGCTTGTCAACCAGTGGGCGTCAACCTTCCGGAGTTCAGAGTTCTTTAGGGTTTCTGCTCTCAGTTGCCAGAAAAGGGTTGCCCCTCCCACATGACCTCTGGCACCCATTTTCCTCCTTGATCCTAAACACATGCATTGCTTCAGACGTTTGCTACTACGCCCTCTAGAGGTTCCAGAGTGCTACAGCTTTGTGTAGGTTATCGGGTCTCCTTATAATTGTGTCATTGTTATGGTGACGGAGCAATGCCATGCTGCAGTTCTCTATTGAACTTTATAGTTGATTCACTCATTTTCCTTTTTTTTTTTCCAAGCCTTGCATTGCTTGGACATTGCTGTAGTTACTTACGATGAGTTTGGATGCTTCCGGGGCAGCTGGCATTAAACTACATCAGTGTCTAGTTTCAATATGCCCATTCAGTCTCTTCTCTCTCTCTCTCTCCCGCCTCGCTTCCATGAGCGCCCAGGCATCTTGTTTAATATATAATAATAATAATAGTGATAATATAGTGTTTAATCTACCTTTAAATAATACCTTCTTCTAGATAATTTTGAGATATTTTGTCTAACCTCACAGGTCCTGTCTTCGATTTAGAAATAATACATGGTGTTAATTTATGAACATAAATCATGTCATATTAGAATTATATTCTACAATCAACACATTCTTGTGAAGGTTTATCCACGTAGTGTTACACCATGTCAAAGTTCTGGACTGATCCAGATCTACTGTTTATGTTTGCATTTATATGTATTTACATTTATACTTTTATCTTGAGTGACTTGCATCGCATTCAAGATATATATTTTATCAGGTTTTTTTAAGTGTCATTAAAAATAAATCATGAATGTGTTAAATGCAATCACTTGAATACCATTCTTTTGTAATGAGCATATTTTAATTTCTCAATTACAGTTCACCTAATTTATTTTTTAGTAATATTTTTGTCGTTTTTAGTTTAGTTTAATAATTGGTTTTTGTTACGAGGTATGTGGTGCAACTTCCCCCCCCCCCCCAAAAAAAAGGAAAGAAAAATTACTTTTGGG